ACAGGATTTGATCCTAATTAAGATGTAATGACACATAAAGGAGTCAAATGAAGGTATTTCCCTACTAGATGTGATGGAGAGCCACTCTAAGAACTTGGGACTACTTGCACTAAGTGCTACGACCTTAAAGGATTGCACGAGAGCGGTGTATGGCCACCTTAAAGGTGTGTGCGGCCGTAAACTCATGTTGGCAAGTGTCTTTGAGGTGTTTCAAGGTCCATACTTGCATCCATGAAGTGTTCTAGGTCCATACTTGGTTGTAGTACAAGTTTAGGGTCTTAGAAATGGGTTTGTGGTCCTAGGATGTATGTGTGTGGTCGCACACAGGAGTGTGCTGCCGCACATAGGAGTGTCCTGCCATACACAAGGGTGTGTGGTCATACACCCTTTAAGTTCTGTGTACAAAATGCTATTTCCAAGGTGTAGCAAGGCTATGGTCATGTCTAACTCGAAGATGGAAGTCCAACTCTCACTTTGGAGGGTAATATGTGGGTGTGCGGCCACACTCACTCAAAGGATGAAGAACATGACGGGACTTGATGATTTAAGGCTTAGATCAAGTGGTTCTTCAAGCACAACAAGTTAAGGGATGGATTACTCACGTTTTTGGAAGCTTTGGAGGGTTTGTGGTTGAAGAAGCTTGAGAGAAATGGTGTTGTGTGCTGCCAAGGTGTTAAAGGAATGAAAGGAAAGGGGTCTACCCTTTATATAGGGGTGGGTGTGTGGCCATGAGGGGTGTGTACGGCCGTACACCCATGTGTGCGGCCGCACACTCCTCCAAAAGGGGTGTATGGCCTGATTATGTTACTATAAGACTTGCTGACTCATTCCTAATCTCGACCTTAGTTGTTCTCAAGCTTAGGACGCTTAAATGAACCCTTAACAGTGCTAGAAGTTAACGGAAACGAGTTTAACTTAGATTAACTGACTAGATGTACCAGGCAGAAGTTTCGGGTTGTCACAGACGAGAGAAACGGATGCAAGTACAAGGATTTTCTGACTTGCAAGCCATCGACTTTCACTGGAAATGAAGATCCGATTGGAGTCATGGATTGGATCTCAGAAATGGAGTTAGCTTTCATGACATGCAGTTGCGGAGGCGAGTTGCAGACCTCCTTTGCCGTACGTCAATTCCGAGGAGGCGTAGTGCGCTGGTGGAACACCCTGGGGAAGACTTTAAGCCCCAATGAGCCCCTGCAGCTGACGTGGGCAGAGTTTTTGGTGCATTTCAAACGTAAGTACTGCTCAGCCCAAAACTTGCTTGAGCTAGAGAACCAGTTCCTGACCCTGAAGAAGGGAAGCATGTCCATTGATGAGTACACCAACAACTTCACAGAGAAGATGGAGTTTGCCTTGTGTCTTGTCCCAGATGAACTAACGAAAATCGACAAGTATGCGAAGGGACTTCCATGGGAGTATGCGATGCCGGTACGTCAGGCACCTACTCTGGAGGCAGCTATCTGGGCTGCCAAATCTGTGAAGGAAATGATCAGGGGAAGAGCCGCCAGCAAGGTTGAGGTTGGCGAGAAGAGAAAATTTGAGGGATCTGCAAGGCCCAACAATAAGAAGAGCAAGTTCAGTTCAAAGAAGTTTAGAGGAGGATGGAATGAAGCGAAATGGTGCGAAAAGTGCAAGAAGAAGCACTTCGGGAAATGTAGCGAGGAAGTGACCTGCTGCAAGTGTGGGAAGGTCGGGAATTACGCCAATGAGTGCACCACCAACAAAAGGGTGTGTTATGGATGTAATCAGGAGGGGCACATTGCGAAGGATTGCCCAAAGAAGAACGAGGCGACAAGGCCTAACATCCCACCGAAGCCGAAGGTGAGAGCCTTCCAGATGACACTCGAGGCTGCGAAGGAGGCAACAGATGTCGCTTCAAGTACCTTTCTTGTAAATGGTTTGCCTGCCAGTATACTGTTTGATTCGGGAGCAAATTACTCCTCTGTATCACATAGATTTGGTGGAAAACTAGCATTCCCTGTAGAAAAACTTGATAATGCCTTAGTTGTGGAAGTTGTTAGTGGCAAATTCATACCTGTTAGTGATCGTATTAAGAACGTCGTCATCGACTTAAACGGAAACGAATTCCGCGAAGAGCTGTTACCCATAGAATTGAACGGTTTCGACATCGTTCTGGGAATGGATTGGCTTAGTGCCAACGATGCTGAGATACTTTGCAGGAAGAAGATAGCAAGGGTAAACCCACCTGGGAAAGAGTCATTTATGGTGTACGGGGACAAACGCAGAATAAACTCTGGAATCATCTCCCTGATGAAAGTCAGAAAATGTTTGTTCAAGGGATGTGCATCATATTTGGCATTTGTGATCGATTCTGAGAAGGAAAAGAAGGAGGTACAGAATATACCAGTGGTATGTGACTATCCGGAAGTCTTTCCCGAAGATCTTCCTAGATTACCGCCTGATAGACAAGTGGAGTTTCGGATAGACTTGTTACAACGAACATCATCGATAGCAAAAGCACCATACCGATTAGCACCTATGGAGATGAAGGAACTTATGACGCAACTTCAGGAGTTGTTGGACAATGGTTTCATTAGACCGAGTTCATCACCCTGGGGAGCTCCGGTGTTATTCGTGAAGAAGAAGGACGGGAGCATGAGGATGTGCATAGATTATAGGGAGATGAACAAGGCAATGGTGAAAAACAAGTACCCATTGCCAAGGATTGATAACCTATTCGATCAAATGCAAGGTTCGAGCTATTTCTCAAAGATCGATCTTAGGTCAGGATATCATCAGCTGAAGGTGAGAGAGCAGGATATTGAGAAGGCTACATTCAGAACTAGATATGGACACTATGAGTTCTTGGTTATGTCGTTTGGACTAACCAATGCTCCAACATCATTCATGGATTTGATGAACAGAGTTTGTAAACCATTCCTCGATAAATATGTGATAGTGTTCATAGATGACATCCTGATTTACTCGAAAAGGCAGGAGGAGCATGGCAGACACTTGCGAGGAGTGTTAGAAGTCCGGAAAAAGGAGAAGTTGTATGCAAAGTTCTCCAAGCGTGACTTTTGGATCCGAAAAGTCCAATTCGTGGGTCACGTGGTTAACCAAGAAGGGATAATGGTTGACCCAGCAAAGATCGAAGCTGTGATGAAATGGGAACGACCGAAGAGTCCCACGGAGATTGAAGCTTTCTAGGATTAGCTGGATATTACCGAAGGTTTATCCAAGGCTTTTCTTCGATAGCTGCTTCACTGAAAGCTTTGACCCATAAAGGAGCTACATATACGAGGAGTGAGAAGCACGATGAAGCATTCGAGAAGCTAAAGAAGAAGTTATGTGAAGCACCGATTCTTTCTCTACCCGATGGAGTTGAAGACTTCGCAGTCTCTAGTGACGCATCTGGAGTCGGGTTGGGTTGTGTTCTGACCCAAAGAGAAAAGGTGATAGCATATGCATCTCGACAATTGAAGGAGTACGAAAAGAACTACCCCACTCATGATCTGGAGTTGGCAGCAGTAGTATTTGCCTTAAAGATATGGAGGCATTACCTCTATGGCACGGAGTGTAAACTTTTCACTGATCATAAGAGTCTCCAGTATCTCTTTAATCAGAAGGAATTGAACATGAGACAATGACGCTGGCTAGAGTTACTCAAGGACTATGACTATGAGATACTTTACCACCCCGGTAAACAAATGTTGTCGCTGATGCTCTCAGTCAGAAAGTAAACCTTGAAAGAAAAAGCCAAGAGCGTTGAGAATAGAAGTTGTCTTGACAATTGTGGAAAGTATCAAGAAAGCTCAAGAAGAAGCTTCAGAGAAGAATGACCAAAAAGAAGAACGTTTGGGTAAAACGTTGGTGTTCGGTACAAACAGTCAAGGACTGAAGGTATTCCAAGAATGGATTTGGGTACCTAAGACGGGAGGAGTAAGAGATCTTTTGATGGAAGAATCTCACAAGACCATGTACTCGATTCATCCCGGTTGCACTAAAATGTATAGGGACCTAAAACCCTACTACTAGTGGCCGATGATGACGCTCGATGTTGCAAAGTATGTGAAGGGTTTTGAGAATTCTAACACTCCTAAGGTGTACATGCAACCCTAAATACCTTGGATCTATGTTTTCTCTATTGTACATGCAAATATGAACTTTCCAAGGTATTACCCTAACTAGCATACAATCTTGTGTACTTGTATAACAAAAGTAGATAGAATACATACCTTTTTGATGTAGCTTGATTCCATGGAGCTCAAGAGCCCAGTGCCTCAAGTGTGACACCTCAAATGGTTCACACAACACCAAAAACAACTTGGAATAACTTGAGAAGAAAGGATACTTAGGTTCACACTTATGAAAATCGATTTGCCTTCTTTTGTGTATCCGTACTAGTGCTTAGCACCCATTTCATGAACCAAAGACCTCTTTATATAGTGTGGAGGATTAGGGTTACAATCATGTAAACCCTAATATCCATGACCTTTCATTTCATAGGATCCATGGGTTAAACACTCCATGGACTATCCATGAAAGCTTAGCCCAACCTAAATGAACTTGGCCCACCACACACACACACACACACACACACACACACATATATATATATATATATATATATATATATATATATATATATATATATATATATAAGAGTCCATATTTAATTAGTTCCTTTTTTATCACTAAATTAATTCTTGATCAATACTAATTGTAAACATTAACATTTGTCAAAATGTTAAACACTGTAGATAAGAGCACATCACACTACAGACACTACAATGCATTTACACTGTAGCCTGTAGACTTAGTTCCACTTTCTCCCGTACTCCCTGTTCCCCGACTCACGCTCTCTCTATCTAAAGAAATTCATCAGTTCGCTTGAAAATGCCTTCTCCTGTACTCTCTCTTCCCCACCATCCCTTCAAAACTTCTCACACGCTTCGTGAAAAATCTATCGGTTCTCAATCGAAGAACCTTGATCGTCACCTCCACCACCAACATTGACGCGGTGGGTCTAGCGGTTACAGGCATCGGGAGTCATCAGATCAAGCGGGTAACTAAGCCCAAGGTCTTCAAATGTTCGTGAACAAGAACAAAACCCGGCTAATGAGTAACGTCTCTCTCTCTCTCTCTCTCGCTTAGGGTTTTGGGTAAAGAAATGAAATTTGGCTGTCATAGTCTTGATAAAAAGCTTGAATCTTATATTACATGATTGTTCTTTTGTTCTTTCTGATCCACGTACCTAACAAGGAACAAAACTAAATTTTCTTTTGTTCTTTGAGACCCACACAGGTAAAAATCCCTTAATTTTTTTAAATCAATGTTAAAAGTAGGTTTGCTAATCTGTGTTGTTTTTCATTTTTGATTTTTGAGCTTGGATCTGGATGAAGATTAACAAGATCGGGAAAGAAGGGTTTTTCGATTTGGAGCAGGTAACAAGCAATTTCTTTTTCCAGATCTTTCAGTGAAATCTTGAAATGAAATCGTTTTCTGCATCCTCGATTTCGTCTCTTTTTTCATCATTGATTTTGGTTTTTGTTTAGGGATTTATAGCATATCTGGAAACCGTATTATTTCAGGTGAAAACATGTATATTTTAATGTAAACCATAACATGTTCAACTATATTTTCATCAGTGTTCAACCCTCCCCATACAATAGACGTAATGTGTTGCATAGTCCATTCATTGTTATATCTCTTGCTTGACATGCGACATGTGGATCTTTATGTTAGAACTTAGAACTCATTTATAGTGTACTCAAATTATATTAAGTCTAGAAACTCTGAGGGTTTGGATTCAATAAATACTAAATAGTACTCTTAATTTCAGAATATAAGCCAGTAAGAAGATTGTGCAATTATATAACTCAGTTGTTCAAATTAATAACGACAAGATGATCCATTTAATGAAATTTACATGTTAAAGCACAATGTCTGTAGCTAATGGTGACTTCCAATTTGTGAGTAGAAGAAGCAGAAAAATGACTACCCAGGTTAGAAAACATACAACTTTTAAAGAATGAGGTACGATTGATCAAGGTTCTGATAAAAAAAATTAACGTTTCAGGCCATAGTGGTTCGATCCTAACGAAATTGAAGGTGTATAGGAGCTAGAACAAGATCTGCTTCATTTGAACTCCATGTTTCAATCGTTTGCCATCTCCATCTCAAAAAAAAATCTCTTTTGATTTTGTTTCTATGATTTGATATAGGTTGCACGTGGAGGGTCTTCTCTGGGATACCAGTTTATTGACGGTAAGAACAGATATTATTGTAAAATATGATAATCAAGTATTTATTTGCCATGGGTTTGTTTGGATTATATGTGTGGTCCAAAGAAAAGTTAGCAGATTTCGAAATTAAGAATTGTAATATATGTTTGTTCCTAATTTCTCATAATGACAGTTACCATGCCTATAATTTCTTTGGTTTGATTTTATGTTTTTCTATCTGCAACAGAGACAAGGTTAGTTTCATTTTTTTTCTTAATTTTCTATCTACATATTTTCAGGTTTCGTCCCGTTAGTAGACTATTGGTGGATGTGAAGGCGGGCAAGGTTCAATTTCATGTTTTTTTTCTTAGTTTTCAATTTATTATCTTTGGCATTATAGCGAATGAGTAGGGCCATAACCATATGGTTCTCATTTCCTAGATTATCAATCATATATTCATACCGGTCCCGATGTTCACCCCTATTTAGGAGAAGGATTATATTTTCTAAGAGAGTTTTGCATTGATAAGGAAGTTCAACTAATTTATTGTGAAAGTTCGTTTGTTGATATTTTTATAAAGATACTCAAGCTTGATCAGTATGATAAGTGTGAATTACTTGGTCTTTTAGAAGTCCCCGTCTTTCCTAGCTGGAATAAATTGCATATCTTTTCAATTTTTCTGTTTTGTAAACAAGTCCTACAGTGAGTATATCCTAATCTATACCCTTTTTGAATTTTTGTTTTTGATGAAATGAAATTGTCCCCTGGTGTGGAGCATGGTCTTGGGCATCTAACGCTAACTAAGATGCAAGTAGTCACGCCAACAGGTATGACGGTGGTTTGTTTTTCAATGAAGTTTTTATATTATGGAAATTGAAAGTTTGTTTTTCAATGGATTGTTTATATTGCGGAAAATGAAAGTGAGTATATTCTGACGCATGCCCATGTTAATATTTGTTGCAGGATCCGTATATAGTGGAGGTGACTTCTACAAAAACATTGCGATGTCTTTATTGTTTGGAAAGCACTTTCTTTGTAACATACTAATAACTCCATAACCAGCTTATCAATGTAAAACATGGATGTCATAAACTGCTGTAAATTGCAATGACCTAAATATTATATTATTCTTTCCCCAAATAAAATAGTTACATCCAATTACAGTAAATGCTCAATCAAACCAACCTGCTGTCATAATGTCTTTTGGTTATAATAAAACAATAATATCTTAATAGGTTTGAATTTAAAAAGTCTAATGCTATAATCATCGGGAGTTTCTAAGTCCAATGCCTAAATAGGAAAACAGAAATGCATTGCATAAATATGCTAGATTTTCAAATTCTATTGTCATAATAAGAAAAAAAATGGAATTAATAAATCAAAATAACTTATTGTATCACAAACTTTATTGCTTTAAGTCCCGCAGCAACGCACGGCTTAAAAACCTCGTTAAATAATATGATTTCATATTAAAATATTAGAACTTATAATATATTAATATAAATCACTAGTATCCTTTTTCTCATTTTGTCTATCCAATTGTTCCGATGCCATGCAACCCAAATGGACCATGCCAATACGGGTCGAATACATACCAATAATAGTTTGGGCTTAAACATCTAATCTAACAGTCTCCCACTTGGATAAGTCAAAAACTATTATTGTGTATGACTCCAAAACCTTACTGGCAATCGTAGCTCTTAAAGCCGCTGCCAAACTCTGACCTAGTCAAATGACTTGTCCATTGGATAAGGGATCATATATTCCTCCATTCTAGATATCATATGGACTGAGACATGGATTATAATCATTCTCTCTGTCCATTTGTTGTTTCCCGATTTCCGATTTATGATCACTGGCTGATTGAACAGATCAAATCAGTCCTGGCTTGGCCAAGCACTTACATGTGTCATCACTAAATCATCGAGGGGCCCATAGATATCGCTTTTATCCCTTTAAGGGTAAAAGGAATGGATAAACTTCGACTCATATGGCTTGTTCTACTACTTGTTGAATCATACACAAAGGCACGTTTTATAACATCGAGTTACCAATGCGTTTTCGTGCAATCAATGTATAACCAACTCATTGTAACAACTCATATCTCTAGGTTTGAAGAATATAAGATATTATCATCTCACGATCACTCGTGATATAATCTATGAAGTGATTCAAATGAGCGTGGGTTGAATCTAATACTCAGAACTTATGAGTACTCATGAATGTTGTAGTAACTTTTGCTATGTCCAACACCTTAGACATCTACAAGCCAACTTCATGACAGTCTTGCCTTAATACCTACATCCAACGTATTATCGATTGTGGATTGTTTGAATAACTTAGTCAAACAGGAAGAATGACCCAGTTATTCTGGAAGTCAAAACATGCAAAAGTGAAACACAATAATAATACTAATCCAATATGGCCCCAAGCACCTTTGAGAGTAAATAGAACACCTTTTATTTAAACACCATTTTGATTACTCATTATTCATTGTTTCGAATAATCAACTTTATACTTGAATCAAAACAATAGTCATGCCATGCTTTAAGCATGCATACTATGTTTGTCCAAATAGTAGTGATGTCATACACCAAGTATGCACACTATGTTTGTCTATGATCTTTACTTCGTGAAATAGATCGATTGAACATAATTCCAATGATTCTCATTTCACAATCCCAAACCCTTCTTCGTAAATACAAGAATTCCAAATTCCTACTATTTGCCGAAATCTGTTAGATTTTAAACTTATATGCACTTATCCTCTAGTAATGATTATGCACAAAGTCACAAAGACTTGTCAACAGTCATTACAGAGTATTCCAATGGAGATCTGTTGGATCACAGGCCCTCTCTACTGCTATATGTCTGCACACAAACAAAATAGAGAAATATATGAAGAAAAAGTATCTGCAAAAGTTGCTCCTGCTATTCCTCATGCAAATAAAAAACTCGACTACAAGACTATAAATACCAAAAGATACCTAGAAACTAGGACCACTACTACTATCTATTCGGTAACAAACCATGCACTATTTGACTCCTAAACTTACTGCAAGACTAAATCAAATACTCTAAACAGATAAGACTAAAATGCCCCTAAATAAAACATGTGGCTTTGACTTGGTTTGGATTAACACCAACATTCTCCCCTTGATCCAAACCATTTCTGCCAAACTTCTTTCTTTCTCTCGATCTCTTTCTCAGGTAAACGTACTGTCGGTCTCGTTTACCTCTTCGGTCTTCGGTTTTCGGTGGTCTTCGGTCTAGGTGCCACCCGGTCTTGAAGCTTCTCATTCGGTCTTGCTTATTTCTTTCTTCCTCGATCAAAACAGATCGCTCTTGCTGCTTTCTTTCTTTCTTGTCTGCTACTTGCTACAGACTAAATGCTTGCTATCATTCTTTTCTTTCTTGCAACCGGCCCTCTCCTGCTTGTTAATCACTTGCTGTTTGCTTCTTCTTTCTTACCTGCTAACAAACAACAAACTTGCTGCATCTTTCTTCTAATTAACAAGCATGATCTGCCTTGCTGCTTATCTTTCATTCTTGCTCTCTTTGTCTTCTCTTGCTGAGAACCCTTCTGCTTTCTTCATCTTTATCTTTCTCAGGTAAGCAACAAGCCTCTTCTTTCTTCTTTCTCCTTTCTACTTTCTTCTTTCTTCATGTTTTTCTTTCTTTCTTTCTTTCTTTCTTCTTTCTTTCTTTCTTTCTTCTTTCTTTCTAGCAATCTTCGCTGCTGTAGCAGCCAATCTTCAATTCTTCATGTGATTAACATGAAATCACCCCACCGTCCTCTTCTTTCCTTCTCAGCCCTGCAGCCAAGGGCTGCTCCTCCTCTCTTGCCACTGACTCTCAAACCGGCAGACACTGTCTTCAACCTTCTTCACCCTTCTTTGATACCAATTGTTGGAACACAGGACCTATCTACTGCTATATGTCTGCACACAAACAAAATAGAGAAATATATGAAGAAAAAGTATCTGCAAAAGTTGCTCCTGCTATTCTTCATGCAAATAAAAAACTCGACTACAAGACTATAAATACCAAAAGATACCTAGAAACTAGGACCACTACTACTATCTATTCGGTAACAAACCATGCACTATTTGACTCCTAAACTTACTGCAAGACTAAATCAAATACGCTAAACAGATAAGACTAAAATGCCCCTAAATAAAACATGTGGCTTTGGCTTGGTTTGGATTAACACCAACAAGATCAACTCCATGGAAACAAATTCTCATATTCAAAGTACATTGCTTTGAACATCCTTCTTGCATTAAGTTTTCTAATCTTACACAGATTGAATAACTTCCTCCTATGGAGACATTTCCATATTCCAATTTTGACTATCACTTCTGAACAAGAGTTGCCTCTTTTCAGAATATGTCAATATGGTCCTTCCAGAATTAACACTATATTTCCAACTGTCCCTGAGCAACCAATCTTTGGTAAACCTTAGATTGTCCTTGACAATTGCTTAATCATTTTAGTCATATCCAATTCTAGACCTTTTCCCCTCTTAATTCCCCAGGCATTTGGAATATTTTGTTACAATATTTTTTATTTTCCAAGTTTTCATAATTCGACTATGAAGAGGGATGTCGTAATCATAATAGAATTTTGAGAACGCAATATATATATAATTTCCTTAAGTTGAACCATTCCAACATAAAATTCATATATATATCCTTGACTAAAGATGCTTAAAGTCTCAATCTAAGCCGTAATCATAATAGAATTTTGAGAACGCAATATATAGAATTTCCTTAAGTTGAACCATTCCAACATAAAATTCATATATAGAATTTCCTCAATCTAAGCTTTTAGAATTGAAATGAAGTATATCCTCTCCCTAATTATAGCAAAACAACTTTTTCAACCCCTGCAACTACACG